GAAGCCCCCGGGTGGGAGTAGCGGCGCCGCGGCCGCCCCGCGGCAGCGCCTCCAGGGCCTCCGCTGTCCTGCCCTGTCGGCCCTCGGCTGCAGAGGGCCGGGGCTGCGCTGCGGTGCCGCGGGAAGCTGCTCCTCGTGACTCAGAACTGCTCAGTGGGGACGTTCTGCATCTCACAGCCTGCTTTTCATGGCTGCTCTTGTGAGGGGGCTGGAGCCTCTCCGGTGCAGGGGATGCCCCGCACACCTGGAGCCTTTGTTCAGGTTTTAGGGGGATACGTGTGACATGGAGCGTATCTCTCAAAATGGGGGGCTCCATGCCTTGGATTGCCATTGATAAAAATATATGCAATGCAAAAACAGTATTTTTGTGTGTCACCAGTATTACATAACGTATCTTTTTCTCTAGTTGATCCCTCTGTTTTTTATCATTGGATCTGGAGGTGTTGGCGCAGCCCTGTATGTCATGCGCTTGGCAATGTTCAACCCAGAGGTTTGGTACGTACAATATAATATACTGCCCTGTTTTCTTGCTAGACATATTAAACTTTCCTGCCTTGGTTTTTGTGTTTCTGGAAGTCTCAATATTTTGTTTCGTCATCACTGACACTGAGTGAGTGGGAGATTTGACTGGGAGATTTGTTTATTTCATAGGTGACACTTACAGACTGATCACAAACAGATTTGCCCTTCTCGCTGGAAAATTGTTTGCATGGATAACTGTTCATGGTCTAATAATCTCAGAGTGCATATAAATTTATTTCTTATGGAGGAAGCATAGTGATTCTCTAAATATCTTGTCCTATTTTGTGTTTCTCTCAATAGCTGGGACAAAAAAAATAATCCAGAACCTTGGAACAAGTTGTCTCCCAATGACCAATACAAGGTAAAATGCAAAATACAGACTTTCGGGAAACTGGTACTACTAAAGATTTGAGCGTGTTAGTCCTGGTACCCATAGCAGAGAACACTAAATTCAGTTCTACAGTTGAATATTTGATCAAAAAAAAAGTTGTCTTTATGATTAAGCACCCAGACATAGGAGAATTATTTTTGAAGTAGATTTATGTCACTTTGTCGAGCTAACAAGCAAATATGCAAACTACATCTCGTGGTTCATGGAAATGAGGCTTTTATCACCTGTTTTGCTAAAACTGTAAGCACTTTTTTATGCTCATATGTGTTTATTTTACCTAGTAATAAATGCAGTTACATTTCTAGTGTTGCTGTTTAGACTACTTTTGGTTTAATTTTGTGGATTCCAGGCTAAGAATAATTTAAGACTAAAAAAAAAAATACTAAAAAGCAAACATTGTTTGCCAATTTCTGTTCACTGCTTAAAAAAACAAACAACTCCCAAAACAAAATACCCTACCCAAAATACCCTGAAAGTTCAAGAACTTAGTACTGTGTTTTCATTACTGCCTCCAAAACGTTGCAGACTGTTCCTTAAATATCTAAAAGAGGCAAATTCAAAAACAACTCTGCAGCATAGATTCTCTGAAAGCCTGCGTGCCTTCTGTAGCATTCCTACTGGGTATTAGCATGCAAAAACAACCTCCAGGTTTACCATATTTGGGGGTGCGTGCCATTTCCAAGTCTGTGCCTTTCTGTTTCCCACAGCAGAAGTTCTAAGCTGAGGATGACTGTGTAGTAAAAAATGCTGATATAACAAGTTGTAACTTCTGATTTAAATTGCTTTTCTTTTGAAGACTTTTCTTGGGAAAGGCTGAAAAAGTCAATATCCCAAAGAAAAGAGTTAAGACTTTGATGAATGTGTCGGGGTTGCGTAGAAAGTCATGAATGACAGTACTTGTGCATCTCAACACCATTTCCAGTTATGGGTTGTGGTTTTGTTTATCAAGTAGTTACAGAATTTTCAAGTTTGACCTTGAATAAAGGTAACCAAATTGCTAGGAAAAAAAAATATGAATCAAGAGCTCCAATTCTGGCTTTGTTCGTAAACAAGAGAAAAGCAGTCAAAAGCTTTTTTTATTATTATTTTTAATGGATTGAGTAGAGCCTGTTTGTCACCCAAGTTGCATAATTGTAGAAATTTTGTTCAAGCGATCTAGTTCAAGCGACCATACTAGTATCAGCGTAATGGACACTGGCTCAAAGGCCTCCTTAGTTCCACTTTCTGAAAATCATGACCTTTTGAAAATGGAGTAAAAGCGGAACTATATTAAACTAAAATAAACACAGTACTAGGTGATTGAGAAGTCATTTCTTAGTTTGGGGTGTACTTTAATGTCCAGTAGTTGCGTTGTGTATTCAAGCTTGATCACAAACTGGTCTTGTGAAAGGCTCATCTGCAGTGTTACATCAATTATTTTAATTTTGTTGTTATGTTCATTTGTTTTTATTCTGTTTTTTTCTTTTTTTGAGCAAAGACTCTCATGATGTCAAGTCAGGCTGGAATGTCAAAATATGCGTTTAATCTGTAAATTCACTGTCCTGAATGACTACTTGGATTGTTACAAGTTGTTTGGGCTTCAATTGGGTCAATACTAACTGTGTGTGTGAAAAAAGTCTATTCTTGCCTTTCTCTCTTCTTGTCCCATGCTGCAGTGATACTGTTCTAGATTCATCTGTGAAGCCAAGCTTGAGTTTAGCAGCACTGCTCTACATGTTTCCCTTGTGACACCACCTGTTCATATTTCCCATGCTTTGTTCCCCTTGGCAAGCTAGATATGCTCTATTGCTTTCCATACATAGGAACACACAGATTTGAGGCAAAAAGTATAATGCTAGCAGTACTACAAAAGACTTCTAAATATGGACTTTTAGTTCTGGGGGTTACAAAAAAGATTCCTTTTGATCTATTTTCTCCAGTTATGAACACCAGAATTGCTTGATATTTAGTTTCAGCAGATTGAGACCCATACACACAATGGAAATGCTGTAAAAAGTTACTGATCTATAAAGGATTTTCTTGGGAGAATGGGGGAGTTGTAGTATGTGTAAAGGGTCTGGTGCACAGACTCCAAACTGCAGTTTGTTTCTGACATGAATTTTAGTGATGCCTTTTTAAGTACGTGCCGTGGAGAATCTGTACCCAAGTTTCTTATTTTGGTCATTTTTTTTCCTCTCTTTACCAGTTCTACTCGGTTAACGTAGATTACAGTAAACTGAAAAAGGACCGCCCTGACTTCTGAACAACATTCTTTTCTCCATAAGCTGCACAGAAAGGTCTTCCGGAAGCCGTCCGCACAATTATCATGCTTAATCATCCAGGAAATAATTAAGTTTGCCTCACACTGCACATGATCATGTGTTTAAAAGTTGGGGTTTAATAAACGTGTGAAACTTGAAGTGTCTGCTGTTTGCTGTTATTTTGCAAAATGAGACTATATTGATATTAACAGGTTGTTGATGATCAGGCAAAAAGTAAGCAAAGGCTGATTTCGTGTTTGCTCAACAAGAAAGCAAAGTTGTTCTGACAGGCCTTATGCTCGGTCAGTTGACTCTGGTGGGGGGGGCGGGGGGAAGTACATTAATGCAGTATACTAAACTACAGGTGCCTGAGAGGACTTCTCTCTCTCTCTCTCTCTCTTTTTTTTTTTTTTTTCCCCTCAACCTGAACTTAGCAGAAAAGGAATCCATGTGGATTGCTAACAAGTGTCACTGTCCGGGGGGGGAAGCAGCAGATGTTTCTGTGTGTTCCTGTAATTACAAAAGCTGAGCACTGCTGGAGAAGTTCCCAAGTGCTTTGAAAAATGCAGTAAAGGGACAGGACTTCTGTTAATCTTTTTTTCTGATTGAGATTGAGTTGTGTCTTTGCGATCCTCTTTAGGTATCTTATTCTGAACTACAGTAGTGGAGTCTGACACGCTCCTAAGTAACCGCATTCATTCCATTAAAAGATGATCACTTCCCTTAAATGTGTGGGTGAAAATAAAATGGTGGACACGAGTAGCTGTCTCAGTTAAAGAGCTCCAACATTCTCTTATGTTTGGTCTGAATCTGCATGTAATAATTCACTACTTAGCTTCTTTGAAGCTGTTGCAATGTATTTTAGGTGTCCTACAACCTTACACATATCCCCAGGTTAGATAATGTTTGATAATAGGAAGAGGGTTTGATCTCTCAAAGATCTTCACGGTCCAATGTGGAGTTGGGTAAATGAGTAAAAGATGGCAACGACAAAACCAAAGCTTACTATCTTTTTCCACAGAAAACTAGGCATGTATTTTCAGACTGGAAACTCAATAGCTGAAAGCTGTTGTCAAATCTTGACAAGGGCAAGAACATGGTATCATTTAGTGTGGGTATCAATACTGTGGTGGGGCTTTGCAAGGAGAGTTATCTTTGCATACGTGTAACTAATGGCAGTTTTTTTGTGCTTTACTGTGAACATCTGGTATTGGTCTGGATCAGGGATATAATTCTGCATGAGCATAAGAGAATACAGCTGTTCCTATCTTGATACTCTTCAAGTTCCTTTAAACTAGAGTCTACTGAGAGTAAAGATGACCATAGGAATCACTATATAAGCAGTAAAGAAAGGTAAAAAGAAAATGAGGAACAAGCTCACTGCAAAATATCAAATGCAGAGAATTTGTATACAGAAAATCTTGCAGGTCATTTATTTGTATTATTTGGTTTAAATTCCTTTTTATTATTTCTATTTTTTACCAGAATGTGGGATAGTTTTCATTTACTCCCTTAAGGGACTTCCATGCTTTCTGAAGAAAAAAAAGGAGTACTGTAACTGAGATACCCTTTTAGTGGTGGGCAGTGTCTCCCAAGTTTCTTCAGGGACTAAATCTGTAGTTAGGAAGTAAACGTGTGGCAACACATTTTATTCTTCAGTAACATTCTAATACCTGTCAGCTGTAGTCCTTCCAGATTTTACCAATGTACTCGTGCAACTTTTAATGTTGTTCCTAAAGACAATACATTTGAATTGTTTTTCTGGAGCCAGCTGTAGACATCCACGCAGGCTAATATCCGGGGAAAAAAACTACTACTTAGCCAGGAAAGATGGTGCTGATGCTTTCAGTCAGAGCTGAGCAGAGCAAGGCTTGAGGATCTCTGAATAAAACACCTAACAAAGAATAGATTGTTTGTCCTTGACAATATTTCAGAATATATTTAATGGAGATACTTAAGCTATTTAAAGCTAAAAATATGGATTGAGTGGAAAGTAAAAGGCAGTTCCTGCAGTGCTACTTCCTCTGCTGATGCTAAGTATGCTTGCTGCTGTCAAGTACACAAAATAAAAACTTTTTTAAATTAAAGCCATCATTCTGAAGGTTGTTATTTTGAGGGGGTTCTTTTTTTCTCTTCCTTTTGGGGCTATGCTTCTGCAATACTTTAAATGCTAATGGATGAAAGTTATCATTACCTGCTGAATTTAAAACTAATAGACATCAAAAGAATTTTGCTTCTCCCTCAATCTTTTATGCTTGAAATAATAACTGAAAAACATTATGCATTTTCCAAAAAGAAATTGAGTTAAAGGAAGGATTCTGAAACTGCTGTGCAGGTTTTTGCATGGGTAAGTTCATGACTGAGAAATATTAATATTAGAATTTGAATACTAGCTCAGCCAACAGTACATTGTTTCATTCAAACTCAATGTTATTGTATTTGCGACAATATAGTCAAAAGGAACCGGATGTTTTTCTCATTGAACCCCTGTGCCTATAGAGACTGAAGGTTGTCGCCTACGTATTATAAGTCTAAAATAAATTGTTCTCTGGGCAGAAATCAAACAATTGTTTAAATATTCAGGTTTGGAATATAGGAGCTCTAAAGTTCGCAGACTTCACTGATACCACGGCAATGGCATTCTTCACTAGAAAAATTACAGGTTCCACTGTTCCTCGTATTTTATGAATAACGGTGAAGATGCATGGTAAATATATCTTACTAATTTAATTCTGCAAACTGTTAGTGTTACTTCCCTAATATTACTTTCATTATCATACAAACGTACCAAGTTATTTCCTGTTTTTCTTTTTGTTTTTAATTCATGTAAATTGTTTTTATTGTTAAAATTCTAATCCTGTAAGTTCTTAAATTCATGCTTACCTTCATTCAATTTAAGTTCCTGTTGGGGGAAGGGGAACTACCTACGCCACAAAAAGCTAAGCACATGTTTGGTCTTAGCTGCTTGGTGGTGGTCTATCATTATCCTTTTTTGGGGGGGAGGTATTTTTATAACTATTCTTTTAGATAGGGGACCTGTTTTTACAGCTTGGCAATAATAATCTATCTGTACTAAAATATTGAATTACTTTCCTTAAAATTACCTTTTTTTCTTCTTCCCAAAGACAAAGACTGTATTCTCTGGAGAAATGAAGAGAGAATCACAATCTGCTTTCCTGTGTTCTCTAAATTTTAGGCTTTTAGTTTCTAATGTTCATCCTCAACTATTAACTTTTATAAAACAGCTAAATTTCATCAATAATCACAAAATCAAGGTCCTTTTCTAATGCAGCAGCAAGGAATTTGCTTGGAGCAGATGTCAAGCATTATCTTAAGAACACATATAGTTAGCTGTATTTGAACTAACATTTATACAACTGCTGTCTTCTTGTTTCAGGTAGATTTTTGCTGGATGGTGAGTGTAGACCTGTCCTGCATGTTTTATTGAATGACCCACATACATACAAAAGATTTCTCTCTTATTCTAAAACTTTGCAGCGATGTGCTTGCCACTATCGGGATTCTATTAAGAGAATTATATTGCACCTTCTTATCAGTGAGCCTGACAAGTAGCAGGGTGATTGAATCTGAAATTAATCCTGCTCACTTAGAATAAAGAGCATTACATGTTTCTGTATTTTTTGTACATGAAACAAATTTCATAGTGTGATATAAAGTATTTCCTTTAGCTGTATTTTTGGTTTTACATTGCTATAGTTCCTCATGACTGTGAAATAACCAATGGCCTGTAAGAAATTAAACTGATGTGCCTGATATTAATTTTTGCATAGGATTTCTTACCAAATGTCATCTGAGGAAATGCATTTCAGATCTGTTTCAAAGCTCTGCCTCACCTTTAAAGAGATTTTGGTGTATGACTACTGAATGACCTTTAAAACTAAGCAAATGCCGTGTTTAGTTCTGATTGGACCCAATACTTTGTCAGAGAGAAAGGTTGATAAGTTATTACAGGAATTTAAAAAAGATATTTAAAAAAAAAAAAAGAAAAAAAAAAGCTATGGAAAATTTAAAGATTCTTGCAAGTCCGCAAGAAGTCCCTGTTTCTACTTGTTGGCCATGAGACAGATCTTGCTGTTTATTTAAGCAAGTGTATAAGCTAGGAAACCCTTTCCATGGGACAAAAGGAAGTGAAGTATCACCCATCAATGAGAAAGCAAAAAAATGAGTGTTCACTTGCATCTTTGCCAAAGGTGATAGTTGTCTTATTATCTTGCAAAAGAGCTTACTACTCACTCTTTTAACCCCAGAGTTAGCTGATTTCATGCTTTTGTCTGAAACATGGGGAATCCACTTTTCCTTAGGAAGTGTTTTTTGCATCAGCAGAAGTTTCTCAGATCATCTAATCTCATCCTCTGATCTCAAAGCTTCCTAAGAGTTTGTGTCTCTGACACTACGATGGCATGATTCCCAACACGTGTTGATTCTAGTGCCATCAGCCTTGGTCATAGTTTGTTTTTTAATCACTTCAAAATAGTCTTACCTGTGATTGGTAAGACTTAACACTTTGGCAGTAAGAACTACATACAGTGAAAGTAAATGGACACCTTGTCATTCTTGAGAAGCAAAACTTCGTTTTTAGGGTCCAAAGTAACATTCCTAATCCAGAAAAGTTCTTTTTTTATTTTTTTTCCCCCTTACCATCATTAACGACATTGCTCACACATCTGAAATAATTTAGAATATATTTGTTGATAAATAATAGCTTTAGGAAATTAGGAGCTTTTCTTTCTACTCTTCCAGCATGGATCAAAAAGCTTCACTAACCTATGCTTAGGATCTACAAACTATTTTTTTCTGCTATTGAAGAATAACTTTAATTTGTTTCTTGTAGGAGTCAGAGGGCAGATAATTTTCTCAAATATCACTTTCAGCAAAATGCTCAGTCAAGAAATCTGAGGCTTTTTGGTCAGGTAATATGAAATGAGATCTTGAGTTCATGAGTCAGGGAAGAAAAAGCTGTTCAAACTTTCGAGGTTTTACTATGTGTTTACTATGTTTATGTGACATTCTTTTACTACTGGAACTGATACAAGATAGACATGTAAATCATCTGGGAGAAATACCAAGTTCTGAAGATCAGAGATGGTCATAGTTTATAGTTTATAAACACATAGAAATGCTACCATTATAAAGGAGAA